GTGTGTGTGTGTGTGTGTGTGTGTGTGTGTGGTTACCATGGTGACTCCACTCACTGACAGCAGATAAATCTTTACAGCTTGAAGATAAAATAAGCTTTTTTAATGATTATCGCCAGTATTATTTTGAAATTTTGGATATCCATTTTCTTCTTTCCTTTTTTTAAGTATTCTTTGAAATATTTTTACTCATGATGGTTAGAAGACTGCTTTCAGAGATGCCAAGTAGTTCCTAAATGCTTCATCTCAGCTGTTTCTTGCAGCATGTGGCCGTATTTGTGCCTGCCACTGATTTCTGATGTAATAATAGGGAAAAAGAGATTCTAGTAGCATGTCTTTCTCTGTCTTCCTGTTGCTATGTGATTGAACAGATGGACCACTCTGTCTCTTTGGTCTACTGAAGGTTTTTAGCCCACACCATTCAGTGGTGCAGGGTACATGCGCCAAAAGCAGCAAGAGAAAGCCATTTATGCCACACTTAATCCTGATTATTTCAATAAATGGAATAGCACGGAAAAGGAAAAAATACATTAGTCATGATAATCCAGCACTCTTTGGAGTTTTTAATGGTTTTTTGTCATGCATATGARAAAAGAAAAGCGCATTATTTATGAGCGCTCATGCATGGGTGTTGTTGGGGTTTCTTTTAATCATAAGAAGGGAAAATATTGAAAATATTAAACATATTATGAAAAGAACAGTGAGTGAAAAGTAAGTTTTTATGTTTAAAGAAAAAAAGCGCAGGAGGAAATAGGAGCGCTTATCACCTCTCTGGGCTTTTCTTGTCACATAAAGTGAACTCGGTGCTGGATCTGGTTTGTCTTCTCGCATCTCGWGCAAACAGAGAAACTTGTTAGATTTATTTTAATACCTTATTGAGACGGAATCGGGAGTTCCCATAAGCATGATCCGTGACTTCCCGTTGTTCTAGCGCACCCAGGCTTTCTCAGCAGCGCGGAGCTTGTCTCTCTGTGTTCCTCTCCTCAGATTTATGTGTGGTTTTCCTTTGTTGCTCCGTTGTGATCAAACACGATCCAGGCGGTCATTGGAAAATGACTGGAAGAAGTGAAGGAAGTCACCTGAACTGGTCTCTGATCTGCGCCCTCTGCCTAAAGACCGGAACGTCTAATCCATCCGCCCGTCCATCCTCGCTGAGGATATAGGAGTTGGTGCTCAAACGCAGCGTGGAGATGAAGGCGCGCGCGGGTGGGTCCGGGCGCGCGTGGGCTGCCGCTGCTGGAGTTCTGTGGATCATCTGACAAAAACTTGGCCCAGGACCTGAGAGACCCTGGACTTTGTGTCCGGATGAGGAGCGTTTCTAACAAACACACCCACACACACACAAACACCCACACACACAAACACGATCGCGCGCGTCTTGTGAAAATAAAATAAATAATGAGCCGGCTTGTGCGCGCGCGTATAATATGATCAGAAGCAGTCAGAAGATCATCTATCAGCAAAATGTGACATTATGTTAATGTCATCGTTGTTGTTGTTGTTGTTGTTGTTGTTGTTGTTGTGTACACAAGGAGCCAATAATTTCATTATTATTTTATTTTTTGTTTATTTATTTTTTGTTTATAACTGTTTGAACCACTGTTTATCAAAATGTTCAGTTTTGGTTTCTGTGACTTTTATATTTTTTAAATAGCCATTGTATTTTTTGGATTAATTAAACAGACTTGTTTTTATTTAAGCTTATTTTACCTTCAATTTTATTTATTTTGCTGCCAGTGTGATTTTAGCTAAAGTTTACCTATTTTTTGGATTTTATCTAATATGTTGCCAGTTTTAGCATTTAGGTTGTGCCAATTTAAGTTGTAAGCAACAATTTTGATAGTTTCGCCTTTTAGTCATCATTTGATGTTTTGCCTACACATTGGTGATAGTAGTTTTACCAATTTTAGCTTTTATTTACAGTTTTGATCACTTTAGCTTTTAGGTACTTTTTGGGTAATTTCAGCTTCTGTTCCTTTTGCTCAAACTTTGACAACTCAAAGTGAAATTGTACACATTTCAGTGATGTTTTTTGCAGACTGGTATTTTTCTTCGTTTGTGTTTACTGATATTTATAATATGCTCTCAGACCTCAGACAGGTATAAGCCAAGTCTGGCAATGATGACACTGTTTTAAGGTGGTTTGCCACAGCTGGCCCAGTTGTAGTTTAGTTTAGGTGGTCAAAATCTGTCAATGTGTTACAAAAATTATGCAGAATTGGGAACACGTGTCTGTTCACCCCCCCCCCCCCCCCCCCCC